CTCATGGTCGTACTTGAATACATCAGCCATAAAAAAGGTCGTTTCTGCCTTGCGGATTTTCAATATGATAAACAGTCATCAACGAACTAGGAATTACCACCGTAGTCCATCTAAACCTCGGCTATACTCAAAAACAATGGGGTACCACTTTGCGGGACAGTGTGACATGCACAGTTATCCTTGTACTGCACTAGGTCTTTCATAACCGTAGGTCGAGATCCATAAAAATTCATATCACTCTTCCCAGAGTCAACCCTTCAATAATCAGCAACTTCTGGCTTAGCAAGTACTGCATAATGTACACACTTTCGAATTTACTATTCAGCTTTCTAGGCATTAACGGCCATCATTATCTGCATTTATCATAGCCTCCATAGGAACGAACACAATTATTTTAAACCAAATCGCTTAGTGGTAAACGTATATTATTAATTTAGTTGAGACGTCTGGGTATTCATATCCTTATAATCAATATTAAAAACAAATCGAAAGTAGTACAGGGGAGCGTCTTCTGCAAGTCCAGCTGAGACGGCGCTGAAATAGAGAATGCAAGCCGAGGTCTAAATAGGCCTCAATACCTATATTAGGGGAGCTCCGCCCTTGGGGTCCCAAATCCTCGCTGGGTCGACAGGAGGAGATTCAGGAAAGGCAACAAAATCTGGCATCATGGCTTGAATTCAGAACATCTCTCGTACAGCGTAACGACTCATCGTTACATCTTCGGAAACATTTGTACAAAATAAATATAAGTACATAAAAACAAAAAGCAACATGCACCTATACATCTGTAAAACGTTCATAGATACATATTATCAAGTGAAAACCACTTGTGGATGAAAGGAAAAGATATTTCATAGTGAAAATTTGAGTAAGGCCATAGGCACAGAAAAACTACTGATGATTGGAATTTTTGAACGAATACCACAATCAGCAGCGCATATGTTGACAGGAGGACAGAACAACAGTGCTATAAAAATACAGTTTAAAATGAACTGCTAACGAACGTGGTACCAGATTTCTTCATGCAGATGAAGAAACACTACAGTACTATTGATGAGTTGAATCTTCGAACGACTAGTACGATGTCTGTTAGAGAATGTCTAGCGGACACAGAAAAGGAATACTGTAAAACAGTCACTTTAAAGTGAAAAGCTAAATTATAAAAATACCTCGAGTAAAATGAGGATAACATGTCGTAGAAGATCTCATTATGAGGATGTTGATACATTTTGGAATGTCACAAGCAGCTGAACAACGACTAACAATTTTGCTTCGAAACGGTTTGCTCGCAGAATTTTCTAAGACTAACGTCTAATCTTCAGAGTAGCGATGACTCACGCTCTGTGTAGGGTGTGTTCAACAGATTCGTACGATTGATAGTCCCGTGTTTAAGGAATCGCAACTCCGAAGACGTACAAAATTTAGTCTGAAACAGCAGTTTTTAGGAGTAATGCAATCACAAGTAAAATGTAAGGATATCACATTACCGGTTAAATACCACTAAGGCTCAACACCACCAGATAAGCATTAAACTCAATGCCTCGAACTTGTCAGGCGAGTTGATGCAGCCGTTAAATACCGCGTTATGTTGAATATACCGATACTTGGCGACTCTCTGAATCTCACATCTGAGCAAAAGTTCATCAGGCAGATGTTTGTAGCCAGATGCGTATCAGTTCCTCACACCTAAAGTGCACCCGTATACGCTGGCTATAGTCCCACCCAAGTTGCATGCAGGGGACTGGGATCATTTTCATGTCCCTTCCGCTTCATACAATCATTACAAATGGTTTTCACCGCTGTCTTCGTTTGCCAATCGTTTTGAGCAGATCTTTCATTATATCATTATGCCGTAAAAAGTTTTGCTTTAGCTTCACAACAGCTGTAATTCGATTTTTATACTTTCTTCAAAGGACGTTTTCGCGTGGAGACGATTAACTGTTGGTCAACTATTTATGAACCAGATTTCGTCTGTACCGTACATGCGGCTACTGGCTTATAGTCTGAAGTTTTCGCATCACTGGTCACCCGAAAGGTGTTGCTCTATAGGATCAGAAATCCGCTTCTTATTCCTTGCAGAAGACCACCTGTACAAATAGATCGAACAAAATCAAGCGCCCAAAAGTTGCCAGTGAATATATTGTAATGCTGAGATATGTGAACCCATCCATGATCTGTAAAGTAACTTACCAGACATCAGTTAGTAGCCACAAAACGGTATGTAATGAGATGCACTGTTTCATTACTGTGACCTCTGTCACACTGAAGGCTGGAGTCAATCGTTTAGCAATAGATGTTACACCAGAACCTGTAATTTTCTTGTCTTCCTGTTATGCTTAAGTCACTTTCGACAAAAAACAGATTCGTACCAGCGGACTCCAGAACGGCAGTTCCCACAATCAGATGATTAGCATGGTAATGAGCTATGCCACTCTGAACTGCATCCCACTCATACATGGGCGCATACGAATAAGTAGAAATAAAAGTTGCATTCATATGTCAAAGTGAATTTGAGTACATAAATACATACGTCCATGGAGA